AAAAAAAAAAAAAAAAATTATTTTCTCTTTTCTCTAAAACCTTCACTTATGAAACTCCAAATACTCTGTAAATATTAATTCTTTATTTGCCAACATAAGTTCTTAGAAGAAAGCTGCTGCTTCAGTTTTCAGATGAACGAATTGAGACTGGTTTAATGGTTCCCCAAATAACAAGGTAGTTGGAAACAGGGAAAAAAATAAGATTGAATTTTTAAACCACAGACACTCTTCCTGTGGAATACACATGAAAGATGTGACTCCAGATATTCAGCCTGCAGGTTGGCGCAATCAATGATTTTTCTGGATAAATAGCCAATCTCAAACAACAAATAATGCAGATTAATTTGCCTAGGCAGTCATGAGTTTGAGATCAGTGTGGTGGATTAAAAGTGAATTAACGGCTGTGTTCTAAGATTTTAAAGAAATTTTGGACTAAGTAAAATTTTTTTAAAGTAAATACTAATAAGGATGGAAAATGAATTTCTTTAAGTCATTTTCTGTTCAATCAGAGAATAAGATGATATCGTGATGACTGCTGAATATATAAAATAACTCAGCCATGTCCTTTTCTGAAAATAGAAGAAAGCAAACAAAAACATACTATACACACAGGTGCATCCTGCTTTAAACAAATCCAACATGAAAATCCAGATTTTCTTACACTGAAAATTGAGGTGTGATTCTATTTCAAAGGATGTGTTTATTTCGAAAAAGAAGTAGGCATACTCCCTACGTTGAAGAAATCCATAGACTTCACCTGGAACCCCTATTCTACCACTTTGTATGTGTCTGGACAAATCAGTTAGATGCCTGTTTCCCATAATTCCCGCTACTAACAGGACTGCTGAGAGAGGTTTACCTGAGAAAGCATACACTCAAACGCTTTCAAAATTGTGAAGTGATGGGTTTCAGGACATGTCATCCCAAAATACGGTACTTGGCATTTGAGGAAGCAGCAGGCGCAGGAAGTGCACGCTTATGCCTTCCTCTCATCCCTTCTCCCTTGAAGCAGACCATATAAAATCAAGCTGACCTTCCTTTGAATTAGGTCAAAGACTTATTCCAGAAGGATCCTCCCTATACCTGGAGGAAAGGAATGTCACAATGGGAAGAATCTGAACAAACAAGCCTTGCTAAATTCCCTCAGTTTATTACCATTAGATCAGGCCCACCTTTGTCTCATCAGACTTCTGTATGACTGTATAAAAATATAGTCTTCTGCCAGGCAAGGTGGCTCACGCCTGTAATCCTAGCACTTTGGGAGGCCCAAGGTCGGCGGATCGCCGAAGGTCAGGAGTTCAAGACCAGCCGGGCCAGCATGGTGAAACCCCGTCTCTACTAAGATTACAAAAATTAGCCGGGCGTGTTGGCAGGCAGCTGTAATCCCAACTACTCGGGAATCTGAGGCAGAAGAATTGCTTGAACCCAGGAGGCAGAAGTTGCAGTGAACCAAGATCACGCCATTGCACTCTAGCCTGGGCAACACAGTGAGACTCCATCTCAAGAAAAAAAATAAATAATACAGTCTTCCCTGTTTCTTTGGGTCTTCATTTCTGAAAACTCGCACGTCACATAAAACTTACAATAAATAAATTTGTTATGCTTTTCTCTTGTTAATCTGTCTTTTGTTATAGGGGTCTCAGGCATAAACCTGGTGACAGGTAAGAAAAGAAAACTTTTCTCCTCTACTCAAGCAAAATGCAAAAATGAGATAAGGTTTTTAAATAGAATTTGAGTCACAAAAATTTGTTTTTCACATTTTTTCATGAATTGGTCTATTCTAATAACAGGGATAAACTAGTGTGCATGCTTTACACTGTGTTGTAGAGCAGCTTTTTTTCTGCTAAGTTTACCATTGGTCTTGAATTGGACTTTTTCTGGTTTTTGATTGACCTGCCACTGAGGAGCTCGATGACATTACTGTGTTTTCCAGCCATTCATTTCACTTGCACAGTGCATAATGTGCTTTCGATGTTTCCTAAAGAAGGGGATGTTTTACCAGGAAATATTTCAAATTAACATGGGCTCAGGCAACATTACCTAAATTGTTTTTTCTAAAAATACCATGCACATATTATGGAGCCCATTTTAAGAAAAATGAAGTAGGTAGTTGCAGAGCAACTTTAAACTCCACCCTTCTCAAATAACAAGCAATTCAGGTCAAACCAATTGCGGGGTGGGGGGGTAATGGTGAGGGAGGTCTGTTTGGATGGTGGTAGGATTCTAAATTCCTCAGAAGATTGCAGAGGTGAAGCCTTCACAGGACAATGTAATTTTCTCCCTTTCCCAATCTGAATGTTCATTGGAATGATATGATTCCTAAGCAGCTGTTATGGAAAAAAAGAGCTTTGTGTTTGGTCACCAATACAAACACCGCTCGAAATAATGAATTATTGTTAGGGTTAAAAATACTCAGTTGAGGCCAGGCATAGTGGCTCACGCCTGTAATCCCAGCACTTTGGGAGGCCAAGGTGGGCAGATCACTTGAGGTCGGAGTTTGAGACCAGCCTGGTCAACATGGGGAAAGCCTGTCTCTTCTAAAACACAAAATATAAACCCTATCTCTAAAATACAAAAATTAGCCAGGTGTGGTGGCAGGCGCCTGTAATTCCAGCTACTTAGGGGCTGAGGCATGAGAACTGCTTGAACCCAGGAGGCAGAGGTTGCAATGAGGTGAGACTGTGCCATTGCACTCCAGCCTGGGCAACAGAGCAAGACTCCATCTCAAAAAAAACAACTAAGTTTATTTTCATAATCACAGTTTTGTGAACAATTTTATTATGTAATTGGTTAGATTTGATATATTTATGAAATCAAATTGACAAGTCTCTATTGCCGTTCCATTACCTGTTTCTGGGCATATTTTAAAAAAACCAACTGCAGTTTCTCTTACAGTAAGCAGATGACAGAGAATTGCTAAACAAGCAAGATCTTTATACAGCCTGCTTCTATTAGAGAGAAGAGAGGAGCACTCACATTCAGAAAAGCATCTTTTCTTTCAATCTTCTAGCACTGAGTATGGTTTTAAAAAAGTGATTTGGTTCACGCTGAGCTCTAAAAGGAGGATTTCTGGAGTTGAAGATGTGTGTAGAGGGCCCCACAGAAACAGGTGTGGTTAAACGTAAGCACAGAAATCAGCAGGTGTTCACTACTAGTATTGATTTAAACACTGCAGGTAATTGGGCTAACAGCCATGAGCAGTTGTCCTCATAGTGTGGATTCACGATGGTCTTTTAGAAGGAAAGAGAGCCTGAAAGTCTAAAAGCTTATCGTCCTCCTGTATTTGGTCTTTCTACAGTAATCTCTGGCTTGCAACAGCTCTTATTCTCCACAAATCTTAAAAGATTTAACTTCTCCCATTACCGTAAAGTTGAGGACATGTTATTCCAGGTAAGACATGGGATCCTGACACTTATTAGGAGGAATTTGTGTAACAATTCATATTTGAATGGATCCTTAAAGTCATTTACTAGCAAAAGTAGGAGCTTAAAAGAAAGCATAAAATATGCTGAGACTTATCAAAGACCATAAGTATGCCCGTACTCCTGAGTTGGTGAAGGAATTTTTTTTTGTTTTTTATCTGCCTGTGTTGGCATAAAACATAGGATTGATTCATTTCCTTGGACTTACATATTTTTTAAAACTATATTTTATCTTCTATTCTTACTTTCCGAGAAGAACAACCAGATATTGGTGGAAACCACAACAGCCCAAGCAAGCTTTTTCTTAGGCTGGAAAATAAGTAGAATTTGTTGGTTTAGAAAACTATAGTTGGCCAGCTGGGGGTGGCTCACACTAGCAATCCTAGCACTTGGGGAGGCTGAGGAGGGTGGATCACTTGAGTCTAAGAGTTTGAGACCAGCCTGGGCAATATAGTGAGACCTCGTCTCTACAAAAAATTTAAAAATTTAAAAATTAGCTGGGCGTGGTGGCATGGGCCTGTAGTCCCAGCTACTTAGGAAGTTGAGGTGGGTGGATTG